AACAGCAGCTTAGACAGGTGGGGTAACACAGTTCAATGTAGAGAAATAGTTTTTAATATTCACATGAAGTGCAGTAAGCTTGTGCGACCATGTCCTTTCACAAGATGGTGGCTGGCACTGAACTTGATTGCAGATTAGGCACACACATATACACAGCAGGCTGTAAGAATTCTATGCATCTTTTGACTATTCTGACTCCGATCGTTGTGATAGCGAAATATATCCCTTGCTGAGACCTCTATGCCTGGCCTGTATAAGCAGATATACTCACTGCGGACAATCCTCGTCAGATAGCTGAACTCGTCAATACCGATTCATTCAAAAGAGGTGTTTATTCTTTAACATCAGGTTACAGCAGATGATAGGAACAGCAGTTGAACGGTTATAGTATTGTGCGGTCAAAAGATGATGCCTTTCCTACGTACTGTGCAGATTACATATGTGTCCTTGTTACATGTGGCTGTTCACTGTGCCCATGACACAGGAAGTACTGCACACAGGAAGCAGGAAGGGGCGTACACTAGGGGAAAATACGTCGTCACATGAGGAATAATTACAGAAAGACATGTATATTACAACAAAAGGCCACTAGATGGCAGCATAGGATAACACATGGATTTAGCTATGAGAAAATAGTTAGGCAAATCACACTATATAAATTCTAACCTATATAACAATGCTAATATTAACTGAGGCTATGCATCTCATATTCTATGCCCCTGTTGGGGCGGCACAATTACGTTGTTTTAATTCAGTTACCATGCTTTTGTAGGCTTAGGCTGGCCATACACTGATCAATTTTCTAATTTGACAAGTGGATTACCCATATACGCTACACAGCATGGATGGTGGAATCCCCCCCTGCGGTCTATTGTATTCTGATCGTGGCAGGTATGTCACTGTCAGAATATCTTAATAGTGCCTTCAGGTGATTGGCTGTGCTCACTGTTTGGCTGAGAATTTTCAGACCAGCTCCTTCGACAAAAGTTTATTAAAAAATTATGTTTTGTTGAACGGAGGGGTGCCGACTGGGCCACACACTGGTCAAATTTCGGCCGAGTTAGCAAGGCTCAACTGAAGTTAGACCAGTGTATGGCCAGCTTCCTGGATGCACTGCTTACTAAAGGTTTATTTGATCTGCACTCTAGTATATTACTGGAATACAATCAGATCATAGTGATTCCAGCGGTCATCTTGATGACACAAGAGACCCATATGGCATAAAACTTTGGCATGTTGCAAAATCTGTGGGTGGCACCAAAAGGACACTGCAAATTTAGGAACTGTAAAAAGGTATACATTAAGGTTGCTAAATATAACTGTAATTGGCATAGGTAAAAGAAAATGCTGTGTAAATATGCCATCATGCTTTAAGGGACTCGGTTTACAATAGATGGAAGTGGTTGGACAATTATAAAGTGTGAGTAAAGCCCAAGCATTTCTGTATAAAGGTTGCAGACTATCTATCTATCTATCTATCTATCTATCTATCTATCTCTCTATCTCTCTATCTCTCTATCTATCTCTCTATCTCTCTATCTCTCTATCTATCTCCTCAAATTCCACTAAAATCCAAGGAGAATATAGGCACATAACCTCAAGGACAATGCAGACACAGAGATTTGGTCGTAAGTCAGTGACATTGAGAGGTCCTCCTCCCAGCCAATGTGGTGGAATGGGAAACATCAAACCACTGTAGCAAGTCAGGACCTGCAGGACCGGAGAACATACCAACAGCTGTCCCTGTGAACTTTGTTATTCTGTCCCCTCCTCCATCTATTTCCTAATATTTGAACAGTGGACTTTGCACTAGCATTGAGGACAGAGAGTTCCAGTAGAGGAAAACCTCCCCACCATGGGGCTAGGGGTGAGGAAAAGCCTGTTGTTTTGCTTTATTTTCAACTTCACACCTCTTCTAACATTTGCAGGTAAGCCATAAAATGTGTTATTAGGGGTTAAATACAAGGATGGTTATATTTCATTTGATAAGAAAGTTACTTACATGGTGGTATATGGTGGCATTTGTAGTAGGGAAAACAAAATCAGTTTAATACTGTAAACGATTCCACTTACAGAGAAATAAAATCTGCTACAATGTGCTCAAACCTTTCATCCGGCATCAAAACATATCTCCATACATGAAATATATGTGCAATTTAAACGTATCAATAATTGCAGTATTTTATCCCATAGTCAACAGCTATCTGTGATTCTTAAACCCAGTTCCAGCTATGGTCCTTGACAGGGGACCTTTAAAAGTGGCACTGTGAAGAGGGTTGCAAATCTCATGATTAAAAAAAAATGGTGGCATTTTCTTTATTTCTTTATATGAGTGTAAACACAACTTAAGGATAAACTGTTTCTCGATGAAGTACATGTGTACTACAGAACATCTATTGAGTTACTATTGTATTGCTTGGCTGTCCTTATGCAAGACTGTGCAAACTACCTTTCTGAGAAACTGTTAAAATAAAAATAATTTACAGGATAAGTCACTTAGAGAGGTTTTTTATTTAGTCTGGTGGAATGAGCTGTAAGTCACAATCATTGTGAAGCACTGAAAATCTGAAAGCAAAGAGCATATGTGTAATCTAATAAGTATGGCTTATACTGACAAATACCTACATTATAATCTCGAATAATTAGAATATCGTGCAAAGTTCATTTATTTCACTAATGCAACTTAAAAGGTGAAACTAATATATGAGATAGACTTATTACATGCAAAGCAAGATAATTCAAGCCGTGATTTGTCATAATTGTGATGATTATGGCTTACAGCTCATGAAAACCCCAAGAACCCCAAATCCACAACCTCAAAAAAGTAGATTATTACATGCAATCAATAAAACAAGGATTGTACATAGAACAATATCGGACCTCTGAAAAGTACAAGCATGCATATGTACTCAGTACTTGGTTTGGGCCCCTTTTGCAGCACTTACTGCAATTACTTTTGCACGATATTCTAATTATTCGAGTTTCACCTGTATATACAATATACACTGAGTGGCCAGATTATTATGACCACCTGACGTTTGTAGGCTAATTAGCTATAATTTTGCGGAGTAGTTGCTAGAGGGCCAGACCATTATAAATAGGGAAGCAGGTTGTTTACCACGACGATTTTTTTCTGAACATATGGGTAAACAACGCGATTTAACAGCCTTTGAACGTGGGATTGTTGGCGCTCGGAGCCAGGGAGCAAAGCAGCACAATTCGATAAATGTTCAAGAGCAGCTGTTGTTAAAGTTTAAAGACTGGACTGTCAGCCGAAAATCTGGGTCTGAACCTGCGAATTGTGGCTGTCAGCGACTAGTCAATGTTACTGCAGAACGGAGAGTGGCAAGACTGGAACAAGACAACAGAAGGGCAACAGTGCAGTGTCAGATTCCTCGCATCACCTTTCAACATCTCGTGGAGTCACGAGTCGGCCCAACGTAGTACTGATGGGGTGATCATAATAATCTGGCCACTCAGTGTGTGTATATAGATG